TCTTTCCATTTTCACTCCTGTGACGTTCAGTGACCCTTACAATACTGCTCCAAGGTCTCCACAAAAGCTACTCATTGCCTAAATGCTTAACTTGTCAAGACCAAAATCATGTATAAACTGTTTTTTTATTCAATCCTACCTTGAAAGAGATTGTTCATGATGAAAACTAGGTCCAGGTCTGTGAGCTGGCAAGCTGACTGAATAAAGATAATTGTACTGTAATGATATCAGTAAACTATCATATGGAAGTATATAGTGTACTCACAGTCCAACTGCCTTGCGAGAACTAAGGTAGTTGAACTATGGTCCGACGTTTTGACACTATGTGGCTGTACATATTAGTAATCAAATAATGGAGTCTATGATATGGGTTGTATTCCAACACTCCCCTTCGGACCTAGCATAGTCCTATCATATATGTGAATCTATCATGTTTGACTTTGGAAAGAGATTTTGTGAAAATGTCAGCTATCATATTGTTTGTAGGGCAAAAAGATAGTGTAACTTTATCATCTTCAACAACTTCTCGGATGAAGTGATATCAAATATCAATATGTTTCATCCAAGGGTGAAATTTGTTGTTTTTGGAAAGAGCTATTGCTCCTTGGTTATCAAAGTATAATATTGTTGGCTCGTCAATGGGTGACCTTAGCTCGCTGATAAGGTTTTGTAGCCATAGGACATCTTTGAGTGCATGTGTAGCCGCTATGTACTCGGCTTCAGTGCTTGATAGTGCGACAATGGGTTGTTTCTTTGTTCCCCACACAACGAGTAAGCCTGCAAAGAAGGAGATATGGCTGGATATCGAGTGTCTGTGCCCTTGAGAGGCATTATCTGCGTCAGTGTATGATATAATGGATTTGTCATTGTTGCTTGATATGATTGATAGGTCACGGGTCCCTTTCAAGTAATGTATTACTCTTTTGACGGCTTCCCAGTGCTGTTTGCCTGGGTTTTGATTGAATTGAGGGAGCATGTTGGTGGCAAATGTTATATCAGGACAAAGTCCCAATGCTATCCATGTGAGGCATCCAATGGCCTCTTGATAAGGTACACTTTGCATCTCTTTGAATTGTTTCGGAGTGCTGGGGGATTGTTCAGTACTGAGACTCAGGCCTGCTTCAAGAGGTGTTCCTACAGGTGCCGCATTTTTGAGTCCAAATCGTTCAACTACCTGGTCAATGTAGGCTTGCTGTGATATTGATATCTGCCGTTTTTGCTGGTTGTATTTGATGTTGAAACCAAGCAGCCACTTTATTTCACCCAGGTCAGATATTTTGTAGGATTTGGATAGTTCTCTTTTGAATTATTCGACTGTGTGAATGCAGTTAGATGTGATTACTAAGTCATCTGTGGATACGGATATTTTGTTGGATTTGTTTTTGTGGTGTCGATAGAATATGGTGTGATCGACAGATGATCTTTTGAATTCAATTTCTCGCAACAATTTTGTGAGTGTTTCGTACCATTTGTGCCCTGATTGTTTTAGTCCGTATAAGCTTTTCTTGAGCTTGCACACTTTATCTTTGTCTCCGTTTTTCAGAATAGCCTGGTGGTGGTCTCATATAAATGTCCTCTTATAATTTTGCATTGAGGTAAGCATTTTTTATGTTGGCTTGGTGTATGTGCCATCCAAGGTTGTTGGCATTTGCAAGGATAGTTCGGACTGATGGGAGTTTTGCTACTACTGCAGATGTCTCGTTGTAGTCCACGCCTTCTCATTGGCCGTACCTGTTTGCTACCAATCTTGCTTTGTAATGTGCTACCCGCTGAGTCCTTCCCATGTATTGCTCCTGTATATATACTAAAATACATAAGGTACTGTACAGTTGTAAATAAAGTTTAAAGTCCGATTTTTAGCATGTGACTATGAAAAGTCAAAAATGTGAAGTAAAGTAAATGGTCACATGACTGGTCATGTGACTTGGAAAATGAAAAGTAAAAGTACAAAAAAGTGAAGTGTAAGTAGGTGCTGGTATGTTAATTGTAATAGTAGTGTTTACAGTTTTCGTCTTATCCGACAAATTGAGCCTCTTCTGCCTTGTGCTCAAGTTTTGGTGAGCTCTTTCTTTTTACAAATATGGTGCATCCAAATTGATAGATGCCATGTAGATTAGGCTTTGTGTCGTTTCGCATCTCGTATGGTGTTTTATTAGGTAATACTTTTGTTGCTGACCTGTTTTTGAGCCATACAGAGTGATTTATTGCTTCTGCCCATAGATTTTTGGGTAGTTTAGCTTCAATTAGCATAGCACGTGCGTGCTCGACCAACATGCGGTTTAGGTATTTGGCTACTCCGTTCTGCTCAGGGGTATCATGAATAGTTTGTTCATGATGAATGCTAAGTTTTGATAGGTAATTTTTAAATTCTTTGCTTGTATATTCACCACTGCCATCTAATCGTATTTGTTTGATCTTAGTGCCATGGTTTTGGGTGTTGAGATGTTTTACAAAGTCCCGGAATGATGTGATGGCTTCATCTTTTGTTGCCATGAATTGCACTGTGGTTTCACGAGTGAAGTCGTTGGTAAATGATATGTAGTATTGTTTGTTTCCAATTAATTTGACTTGAGCAGGTCCCCATACATCCATATGGATACATTCTCCATAGTACTTTGCACAAGTGAGTGACTCCTTCGATATTGGCATTCTTGTCATTTTTGCTTTAACCCAGGATTCACAGAATTCTTCATAGTTGATTTGTTCAGTGCAATTCCTTATACCATTTCCTTGGATATCATTGTCCTGATGGCGGATGGTGCCATATGTCCCATACACTTGTGTAGGAAATTGATTGATACAATTCTTGGTCCTGCATTTGCTATTGACGCTTGGTCTTTAACAGATATGCGGTATAGTCCGTTTATTAGCGGGATCTTTGCAATTGTGTTGCCTTCGGCTGGCATGATTGCACATGTTCCATTCAACATCTTTATTCCCATGCATGCCTTATCAATTTGGCCTGCTGCAAGTAGGGTTAATGCCATCTTTGGCACATACAGTGTGTCTTTTAGGGCTATTTTTGCACGCTCCTTTGTTGTTTGGTAGGTGCAGTTCAACTTCACCCTTGCCTGTCACTTGCAGGTCACATCCGTCAGCTATGCTGATAGGACGTGGTTGGATGGGTGTAAAGGTCTTGAATTTGGATCTATCTGGGCAGGAATGGGATGAGGCGCCAGAGTCTATAATGACTTCTGTTTCATTTGTATGTGCAATCTTTTGTGATGTGATGAGGTTGGTTTCAAAGGAAGTGAAGGTGTAGTTGTCCTCATCAGGTGGGTCACGAGCTGTATTTGCTCTTTCTTGTTTTGTTTTCTGACGTGGGCCTTGGCCTTCTTTGCCACCACCTTTTCACCAGCAATCTTTGTCAATGTGTCCTTCTCTGTCACAATTAGAGCATTTTTTCTTTTGGGTGCATTTAGGCCTTTTCTTTTGACTTTGGGCATTTAGGGCTGATTTGTTTGCTCATTTTGTAGTTGCTCGGTAATCTGCTTCTTCTGTGATGTGAAGTATAAGTTGGCAAGATGATAGAGGGTTGTTTGTGACTCGAGCAGCTGCTGTAATGGACGAGAGGATTGGAAAATATGATTCAGGTCACGATGACATGATCATGGCACTGAAATCGCTTTCTTCAACAGGTGCACCCATGGCTGCAAGTTCTTCTTGCAGTCTACACATTTCAGTAATGTGGGTTTTTAGGCTGTTGTCATTTTTGCACCGGAGTTCAAGAAGCCTCCTGTTACGATAACACAATTTTCGGACCTTTCCTTCCTTTTTGTTCTCCGCCTTAACCTTGTATACTTTAGCTTTCACACATGGTGCCACGCGGCACTTCCCCTTTTGTTCAAACTCCTCTTTCTCGCGCCGCATTGCCTTCTTCTTATTTTAGATACAACTCTCTCACACAGTGGAGCTGGTCATGCGGGCTAGGCCCCATGACATCATCAGCCACTAAACTTTATCAACTGTACAGTACATAAGTACAAACACTCTGTATTAGTATATATACCCCAATAGATCAAGGAGACTCCTCAGCGAGTCCTCCTGTTGTAAACCAACAAACTCTCTGCAGCTTAAGGGGTAACCACTCCCTCATCATCTTCATTATAGTGTGTTTCTGTGTGCGCCAGAGTAACTAACTCTTGGTTGTTACACCTCCTCCTGGTGTCGGCGTTGACTATATCACTTTTGCCTTCATGTAGTCGACAGATTTTGTTCCAGGTGGCTGCAGCAGTTGGAAAGGTCTGTATTTGATAGTTTACACTGTCACTTGTGGTTGCATACAGTTGTTGTAGCACCATGGCTTCCTTTTGTAGGTATGCATTTATCTGGTCTTAGTTTTTCTCTATGTCTGCGTCAGAAGCCTTTGTTTCGCCGTCATGTGTCATGTAGTAGGGTGTGAGATCCATCAGGTGATGTGGGGTAGAGGCCTTGGGAATTTTGACACATCCATGTAACTGTTGAAGGAGGCCTTGGCCGATAGTGCCATCACTGTTCTGGATTTTCATAGGATCCGGTTTGATGCATCTTCAGATAATTTTGGGACAGCATAGATTCCCGAGGATGCTGCTGGGAACACTTGATCTGCAGTGTTTGCGTGGCTCATAACCTGTGAGCTGGCAAGCTGACTGATTAAAGGTAATTGTAAGTCCAACTGCATTGCTAGAGCTCTATTATTATCTACCTGAATAAAGGTAATTGTAGTGTAATGATATCAGTAAACTATCATATGGAAGTATATAGTGTACTCACAGTCCAACTGCCTTGCTAGGGTAGTTGAACTGTGGTCCGACGTTTTGACACTATGTGGCTGTACATATTAGTAATCAAATAATGGAGTCTATGATATGGGTCGTATATTCCAACAAGGTCTGCCCTGGGGGCCATGCTATAATTCACTCAATTGGGAACGTTCAAGCAGCGGGATCTCCCGGATCAGTTGTAGCTATCACATGACCGGTCTGAATCAACTTTAAATTCGATTTATTCTTGGGCCGAATGAGACAGGGTCTCCTAGTAAATATCCCTTCTCTTTGTCAAAGAATATGGGTAAATCGCAAAAGAAACGTTCCCAGAGACGGTATAATCCCGTGAGGGTCCTCGACTCTTATATTCCCAAGGGTCTCGCATCTGCAGCCTCATCCTCCTCCAAAAATGAAGCCATCCTGCCAATCATTCAAAAGGTCAATATATATCCGCACTATCAGATTGGCTGCGAAGCTGAAAATTTATCCTTGTGAGGCAAGATGCAAAGTGCAGATGGCGCTGAACGAAAATGGGCGTGTGTAGCTGTCTCCAACCTTATACAAAATGATGCATCCACCAGAAGGCTGTTGCAAGGGAAGGATATTGTGGGTTATCTCATCACACGCTTATCAGACAGCGAAGAAGAGGTGTGGATTGAAGCAGCTGGAGCACTCCGGTAGGAATCTGCGTCTTTGATTCTTTAGTCCTGAATCCCCTTTAACGACGTACTGGTAGAAATCTATGCATCGATGGCGGGCATGAAATTTGTGCAGAAATGTTCAATAAAAATATACTTGCTCCCCTTAAAACATTCGTACCAAAGGTGCCCTCTGTTATTTCTCACAAAGTATTCTATGATCCTGATGTCCTTCGAGATGTCTACCATCTTGTCACAATTCTTAGGATCTCCTAAGACTGCCCCCGAAATGTTTCAAAAAGTAGTGTATGAATTTGCCGAAAACGTTATCACTATTTTTTGGTGTCTTTCGTGAGTATTCTCTCATTCAGCCTTGTTTTCACCATATGGCTCATACGTATCAGAGAGACCTCAAATAAAGCTCTAAGTGCTATCAATCAGATGAACTTGACAGCATTTCTTATGTCCTTCCTCGCATCACGTGACCAGTTACCGATCGCCACGGCCACCGCTGCAGGTACGTTCTACGGTCTATCCTCGCCTCATCTGAGTGCTCATCGCGACACAGCTCAGTGCCTCTACGTATTAACCGATGACAATCAGCCGACAATAGACGAAATACGTTCCAACGTAGCTTACAGCTCTTGTCTTCTAGATATTGCCCGTAGCGGAGGTACTACCAATGGTAAAGGGGAGAATAGTGCGGAGGGACCATCTGTCATGTTCAAAATTTTAGTCGCCGGTATGTTCACGAGTATAACCAGTCTCTTGTCAATCTGAGTGATAGTCTAGGCATTTTGCGTAATATATCGCCGCTGCCACCGCCGAGTACTACTTCTGCAGCGGATATTGACAAAACTATTGTTCTGCCTCTCTTGGAACCTGTACTTTCTTCCGTGAATCTATTAGAGGCCATTAGTTTTGCTCAAGATGCTGTAACGCGAGAGGTAAGGTATTTTATGATGGCAGTTTCAAAGTTTACACTTTAATCACCAATGGTCACAGTCTTCCGAACCTCAAATAGGAAATCTGTCTTCGAAGCACATGCCGAAATCGGACCACAAGACGCCGGATCAATTTGAGCTAGACAGACTAGAAAATAAGCTCAGGATTGTACTGCTTACCCTTGAGGTTCTCACTGGGACCTGTGCTATGTTGCCGGATCCTGTGAATCTGCTTGTTGACGGGAATAATGAGATTATTGATGACGACAGTAAGCTAGTTGTCAGTTTACTGCGTAAAGCTAATATTAAGGTCTGGCTAGGCCAAGATGAGACAATGGATGACGGTCCTGATGTTCAGATTGCGGACGTTCCTGCACCTCAGTCGTCCTTCCATCCAAATTTCTTACCCTCACTAGTTCCACCTCTCTTGGCTTTGATTCACCCCACACCTCTCTCTTTCCCTCCCAGCGGCGGCCTTTCTGTGCATCCGCCGATGACATTCGCTCTTGGTTCCATTCACATCTGTGCGCTCGAATGCTTGAACAACGTCTTCCTTTCTCTTGGGGCTACCCCCAATCCAACACTCGTAGCAGACAAGGAGAGCGGGCGTAAAGTATGGGAAGATATATGGATCACTCTGAGAGCGGTCGGTACAGACATTGGACCTGGTCAGGAAACAAAGCAAGATATGTGGGACATAGCTGTGGGTGTACTGTGGGGTGTCGGAAATATCTGGAAGGGTTCTCTGGTAAATTAATGTTCGATCAATTCTTCTGTTCCTTCGTTGACTGAAATTCACTACGAAAACGTAGGTGCCTTGTGAGGACCAAGTGAAGGTTTTAACCCAACTTTGTGATACCAGTGAAGATCCAAAAATACGAGTCAAATGTATTGGAACTCTGGAGTGCCTGGCGCAATACCCTGACACCCTTGACGCTAACCGCGTAAGCACATCTCTTTTTGATTTAATCCATTACTTCAACAGTTGTACAGAGCATTGCGGAGTATCTTTTATCGATTATATCTACACCAGCTACACCCTTCCCCGCAGGGACCGAACCTCTCATACAGGCGCTATCTGCTATCGTGGACATCTACTCAGACGAATCCATGCCCTACGATGTCAACTTCCGCCAGGGACAATATGCCGACCGCTTAGTAGCTAGCCTTGACAGTGTGATCAAAGTTGTGAGGGGAGTAGATAAACAAAAAGACAGTGACCTGAGATTGAGAGGGGAGGAAGTAAGGGACAACTTGATTGCATTTATAGACTACAGGAGAAAGCTCAGTCTCTGAATACATTTACCGTCTATACTCTGTACTATCGCTGGACAGCAGTTGCAATTTATGGCGCTCCAAGTGCACTTTTAACCTGGCGCGACAGAAACTGTAAAATGTGCGGTACACAGACCTAAACATTCTATGACACTCTGTCTGCCCTAATAAAACTAAGTGAAACTCAGCCGCTGCCTAAGAGGCTATAGAAACAACTGGGATATTAGCACTTCAACAAACAAGATTTTAAAGTATATAGTGTAGTAAAATGGTATTTTCCATCCTGTCAAAATAGTTGTATGTGGTGGTAATTGGAACCAGTCAAGTACTGGGACCATCCCATTATTTGGGATGTCCCATTTAAGTGATGTTTGGGATCATCCCATGTAGTATTCAATGGGACAATCCCAGAGGAACAATAGGACAGACCAGAAAAAATCCATCTCTTAGGTGGATAGATGTATAGTGGGTGATCAACCTAAATGCTAGGCTCCTGGGGGTGCCTGAAGTGCCAATGCAGCTATATACAATGGACATCCCCAGCCCAGGAGTGGAGTCCCTCCCCTTCCTTGGGGGAAAGAGTAGCAAGAATGAAGCAAAGATAGGGGATCATTGGGGATCTCTATGAGAGGATTAGTGGGCCAGAAGATGAGGTAGCAAAGTTAAAAGCCAAGGAGAGGGACTACAATTTGAAGGGATTATTATTGAAGGGACTTGTTATATAAAATTTCAAAGTTTCTTTCCTTCTTTCAACTAGATTTCATTTGTATATACTTAGTTTCTCCTCACTCACCACTCAGTGTATAGTATCAGTGCCCTCTGGGCACCCCTGGCACATGTAATAGGCATGCACAACTGAAAGTCACAAGAGATCGGAGTAGTAGCATATTATATGTAGTACTCTGTCTTCTGCAAGTAATTGTATATATTGGACATGTAAGTAAACTTGTCAGGCATTATCAATAATGAAGATTGTTTGCGAAAAAACCACAAACAAACAAACTAACAAAACAATCTGTTACAATACACAATTTTTGGACCTTTAATTTCATTCTCCACTTTAGCTTTCTTTTGTAGTTTTCACACACTGTGCCATGCGGCACTTTCTATTTTGTTCAAACTCCACTTTCTCACGCTGCTCTGCTTTTCTTTATTCTTAGCTACAAGTCTCTCATGCAGTGGAGCTGGTCACACAGGCTGTGCCCTATGACATCACCAGCCACTGCCTTCATCAACTGTATAGTACACATGTACAAATAGTCTGTGAGAATATATAAACCCCAATAGATCAAGGAGACTCTTCAGTGAGCCCTCCTGTTGTTTACCCACAACTAACTCAGTCCCATCATAAGGGGTAACCAATCCCACTCACTTCAGCTGTAGCTTGTCTGAGTTGTGCGCCAGAGTATACAAACTCTTGGTTGTTACACAATCTTTCCAGATTCCACCGAACTTGTTTATGGGTTTTGCCTCCTAGAACAGTAGGTGGTCTGGTTGTTTGTGGGGTGGTATGTATAATGATCCTTCTAAGTGAAACCCAGAGATGTGTGTGGGTGTGGGTTTGGAGGAGGAGGGATAGTTGGAAGTTGAAAAATAGGGGCTTTTTGCTGAATATGTGACTGAAACAAATATAGGCAAGCACTACCTTGCTAATTGTAGCATAGGGTAGATTTGAGAATGACAAGGTAATGAGGTTCCCATTAATAGCAGGCTCCTGGCGCACAGACCATAGTGCTCAGAAGGATCCTAATCAAAAGGGATCACAATAACTTCAGAAGTGGAGAGTGATGATGACAGCAGTTAACAGTAGTAGCAGTGGGAAGTGTTTGACCACACTGGATTACATGTAGCAGTGAGTAGTGGACTTGAGATTAGAGAATAAGTCTGGATTGGAATTCTTTTTTTTACAAGGTATAATACAGGCACTTATATAGTGAAAAAAAGGAAGGCTATGCACAGTACAGCTGTGCAAAAAGAATGAGAAAAAACATGGAGGAAGGAATATACACTGACAAATCCTGTGTAGGTAGTACAGGATAAAATTGTAAAAATAAGGAAAATAAAGGAATGAATGCTGTGTATGTAATGTCACACATTTGTACAGCCATAAAATAAAGTCCAATAATAATAAAAAGCAAGAAAATCATGATGTCATAGGAATATGCATTAAAAAAAGACAAGGCAAAAATATTATCAGTATCAACACAGTTTCCTTGTTATCAGTCAGGCATTCTAAAAAAATATGTGTTCATAAAAAATGATTCAAAAATCAAGAATCATTACACTGAATGTTCTGCTGAGAAAAAAAAGAACTGGAGCCACCAGTCCACCACCTAGTCCAAATCCAACAGTTCCATGGCCTTACCAATAGTCTGGTTGTATTGGACCACCTGGTCAAATGAGGGAGGGAGAGAAGTAGTTCCAATCTGGAACAGATGTGTCCCAGGCAGCGTGTATCAAGTGAAGCTGTAGTGAAGACAATGGATGAAGGATAAATGTACCCAAGCAAATGGGACAGAAACGTACATGGGTGACGCAAGAGGATGGACCTTTTCCAACTCAAAAACTACCCATCCATGTTCCAGCCAGGTGAGATGAGTGACCAATGATTTGATAGTATATGATGGAAGATCAACATCATGAAGATGAGAATGGACCAGCTGCCCGATTTGGACTGGCCACTGAGGCTTTGCTGAAATTAGCAGCGGCACATGGTGGTTAACAGATTGGCGACAAAAGCAGATTGAGAGCGGTAACATTAGATGTGGTAAAGGCGCAAGGAGGATGTGTAGGAGGAGGGTGGAGGTGACAAAGAATTGGATCAAAATAGGGATTCAAAAATAACTGTCTGGTAAGAAAAGAAAAGACAGGATAGGGCCCATGGTGGGGCTAAGTAAGGGAAGACAACAAAAGCGAGGGCGCAATGTGTAGCCAGTAGCAACACAAAAAATTGCCAAAATGCCAAAACACGGAAAGTACTGAATGGAAAGCAAAGATGGGTGTGACTTAATTGCCTAATAGAGGTGAGTGCTGATCAGCCAAGTTCTAAAAAGGCAATATTAATTACTATTCCACATGGCACTGTGCCTGTGTGGCACAAAGGGGAGTCTTTTGAATATTCACTTTGTTATTAACACCTGTCCATGCAACCAATCAACTTTGGTGCATGACAGCATGCAGTAAACTGAAAGGTGGGAATGGTTTCCTCTCAATGGTTCAACCGCCAGTATTAAGATGAATTGCTATATTGCAAGTCTCTCAAAACCAATGGTGTGGAGCGCATGAAAATGAGTGACCTACTTTGATCTGTACTTCTTCCTATTCCAGCTCACCTTTATCACATTGAGGTGCATTGCGTGATAAATGGCTTAACAACTCCATGCAGGCGTTGTGCAATCATTGTTCTCAACAGGAAGATATGTGCAGATAAATAATCCAACACTTCCCCATTGTTATTGTTCAGTTCCAAGGCCAAAATGCGGCCTATAATTGACATCTTGTAAGGCTGATTTGTAGTTGTATTACATAATAGCCCATAAGCACTGGGAGTTCCCCAGTCACAGGATGGTGGAAAGCATTCAACACTGTAAATTCCCCTTTTGGGATCAGAGTAGTTGATCATTGTAGTTGAAACTCTAGAGAGGGGGGTAAGTTACGAAGATGTGAAAAGGAATGAATACACCTAGTCTTCTCTGTTATCCAATGTGCATTGTGTGCTGGGTGGATATAAAGGCTCATGTTTTGAAAAATGGAGAGGGTGATTAAATGCCTGTGAAGTTATATGGAGGCCACATAGAATTGGAAATTATAGAACAGTGGTTTTCATTAAGCATCTTCTGTCACATGTCAGTTGCCGGCCAAAACATTGGAAGGTATGCAATTTTTATGCATTATTAGAATTTGAACAAGTATGAAGTGTGTGAGGGAAAACTTGGTTTGTGATTGTCTGTAGTGTACAGGAGTGGGTCTCTCATGAGTAGCAGGGCACTTCAAGTAGATATATTGTTGGTAGAAGAATTTACCACAGATATTTGAGTATGATTTGCCAGAACTGTTGTACAGGAAAATAAGTGGGTAAGCTATACACTACATCAATTTGCTTCATCTCTAGATATTCTTTTGTTCCTACAGCCAGGACCGAAGCTCAGAATATTTGTTAAACATTGAAATTGGGAAAGGTGGAGTGCACAATGGATACTTCTTGCAATTCCAGTAGTACATTCTAAATCTCCCAATTTGCCATAGATTTTTTGCGTTTGCACCATTTTACATGGACTTCCATGAGAGTTATGTCATTGATTTTCAATTGGTGAGGCAGGAATACATCCATGTCACATCTGGCCATGAAATTTGTGCAAGCATCGTATATTGCAGTGAAAGGCTGGGCTTGTAAATGAGTTAGTGGATGGGGCTCACTTTGTGTGGGGTGCTGCTCTTGTTGAAAGGAGTTTAAAATCACCAGGCCATGATGTTGTGCTATTCACTTGCAGATATATCTGTCATACAAAGGTTTAGTTATGACCAGTGACACATTATGACATTTGTTTATAGTATGAGAAAACATGCATTGGCCAGGGCTTGAACCTGGGACTCCAGCTTTCATGGTCTGGTGCTTTACCAACTAAGCTACCAAGGCGTACTTGGAAAGCATACTGATTGGTTGCATGCCCAGAAGGTCCAGAATCACTGTACACGGGTGCGGATCCCATTGTGTTGTGATAGCCTCCCTCACCCGTGATAGAGTGATGACGGATTACATAATAGTAATGGCACTAACATGGATTACATCTCATAACTATAGTGGGGCTGACAAATTATGACATTTGTTTATAGTATGAGAAAACATGCATTGGCCAGAAGATGTCCAAACATTCTTCCGGACTCATTTGGGAGAAGAAAACTTCACTCCACTATACACAGAATTCCTCCGGAGTGATGGGGGAGGAGAATATGCTGGCAATGCATTCAAAAATCAACTCTGAGGAGATGGTGTCATCCAAGAAACTACAGCTGCAGATACTCCGGAACAAAATGGCATTGCAGAATGCATGAATCAGACATTGGCTACATTAGCAACCACTATGCTCCATGATTCCAAGCT